GGCATCCGGCGCTGGCGCCGTCCGTGGGTCCGGATCTGTCGGAGCTGCGTCTTGCACGTCGTCTCGCAGTACGTGCGCGCGTCCGTGGGGGCGGGTTCCCCTCCTGGCGGCCCCTTCTGCCTTCGCGGCCTACCTGACCTCCCGTATCGGCCTGACCAGTCCTGTGGGCGTCCGTCTTCCCCGCGAGATCTCCCCTGAGTCTCCGGCTGTGCATTTCATCTTCCGCCGGCGGCAGGTGCAGCAGCGGCGCCGCATTTTACGGCGAGCGCGGGGTGATTCGTGCCGCTCGCCGAGGTCACCCGCCGCCCGAGCACTGCGTCGTCCCGGGCGTGTGATTCAAGTCGTCCGAGCGCCAGGTGAGCTGCAGTGGCCACAAAACAGAGCGCTCCGCCTCGTTGTGGTGGATGCAAGGATCACCTGGTACCTTTTGCAGAATCCGACTTGGCCACGGTGGGCGGTCAGAGGAGTTTCCCTTTCCTCCCCCCCCCTTTTTTTTGATTCTGCAAACGTTTTTAAAACTTGTGGTAAAATATACATAACACATGAAATGTACCATTTTAACCATTTTTAATGCACAATTCAGTGGTATCCTTCCCTTTCCTTTTAGTGCCTTAAGTCTTAGTTCTGTTCTGAAGGAAGAGGCCCTGAGAGGAGGTTATGGTTTTTGGTTTTTATTTATTTTATTTATTTTCGGAGTCAGAGTCCACTTTGTTGCCCACGCTGGAGTGCAGTGGCATGATCACAGCTCACCGATCACAGTTCATCGCAGACTCGACCTCCTGGACCATGATGCCACTGCACTCCAGTGATCCTTCTGCCTCAGCCTTCCCAGTAGCTGGAACTATGATGTGTACCACCACACTTGGCTAATTTTTTAGAGTTTTTATAGAGATGAGGTCTTGCTAGGTTGCCTAGGCTAGTCTTGAACTCCTGGGCTCAAGCAGTCCTCCTACCTCAGTCTTCCAGAAGTGCTGGAATTGCAGGTGTGAGCCTCCTTGCCCGGCCTTTATTTTTTTATATTTACATTTTTTGTTTTTTTTGAATCGGAGTCTCACTCTGTTGCCCAGGCTGGAGTGCACTGGCATGCTCAGCCTCTACCTGCTGGGCTCAGGTGATCCTTCCACCTCAGCCTTCCAAGTAGCTGGAACTACCACATCTAGCTAATTTTTCTTGATTTGTTGTAGAGATGAGGTTTTGCCAAGTTGCCCAGGCTGGCCTGGAACCCCTGTGCTCTGGCAATCCTCTTGCCTCCGCCTTCCAAAATGCTGGGATTACAGGTGTGAGCCACTGTGCCTAGGCTAAATTTTTTTTTTAATAGAGAGTCTGGTTCTGTCACCCAGGTTGGAGTGCAGTGGCACAACCATGGCTCACTGCAGCTTCAACCTTCTTGTCTCAAAAGATCCTCTTGTCTTATCCTTCTGAGTAGCTAAGACTATAGGTGCAAGCCACTATGTCTGGCTAATTTAAAAAATTTTTTTGTAGAGACAGGCTCCAGGCTGGTCTTGTGCTCCTGGTCTCAAGTGATCCTCCCATCTCATCCTCCCAAGTGCTGGGATTACAAGCATGAGCCACTTCACCCAGCCCAGATTATGGTTTTTGTAAATGTTGTTAAAATATTACACACAGCAGAGAATGCATCATCCATGAGCGTACAGTTCAGTGAATTCTCATGAGGTGAGCACTGCAGGATGAATGCATTCAGGTCAGGAATAGAACCTTCCCAGCATGTGGTCCCTGTACCCCCTGCCAATGTGTTCCCGTATCTTGGGTGGACAGCCTGCACAGGTGCTGCACTGGACTATGTGGAACTCTCCCTGGGCTGTGATGCTTTCATTGCTCTACTGTATTCCAGAGTTGCAGGTTTAGTCATTTTTTTTTTTTTTTTTTGAGTTGGTGTCTCACTCTTGTCACCCAGACTGGAATACAGTAGCATGAATACAGCTAACTGCATCCTCGAACTCCTGGGTTCAGGTGATCCTTCTACCTCATCCTGAGGTTATTCTTCTACCTGTGGTCCTGAGTAGCTGGGACTACAGGGACTACAGGTGTGCCACCATGCCCTGTTAATTGTTTTTGGTTTTTTTTTTTTTGCAGAGACAAGATCTGTGTTGCCCAGGTTGGTCTCAAATTCCTGACCTCAAGCAGTCCTCCTGCCTCGGCCTCCCAAAGTGCTGGGATTTCAGGCATGAGCCACCATATTCAGCCCCAAATCACTTATTTTTTAGGGCAAGAGTGATGGTGCCCCATTGGGTGCCCAGATGGCCTGTGTGGTTCTTCCTGGCCTCCCCAAGATGGCGGCAGACAGCATGTACTCTCAGACCCTCAGTGGAGCAGAGGAGGTGGCTGGGCAGCCGCTGGCTGGCTGGGGTGGCCAGTCCCCTGGCCTACAGAGGCTGCTCTTCAGCATCCTCCCACACCTCTAAGGTGACGCTGACCAAGGATCGCTACCCTGTGCAGCGGCTGCCATTCTCCGTGGTGTCTGAGGAGGACCTGGCCACCTTTGAACGCATCATCCCTGGCAGGGTCATAACAGACCCAGAGGAACTGGAGGCTCCCAACGTGGACTGGCTGAGAACAGTCCGAGGTGAGTTAGGGTCTGTTCACACTGTACCCCAGGGTGGTGGCTTGAGAAATAGCAGAAGGGAGATGTAACACTGTGGAAAACAGAGTTGACTCTTCCATGTGCCTTTCATGCCACAAGAAAAGCTGTCTTGTGGCAACTTTAGAGTGTGCTGAGAATAAAAAGTATAGAAGTTTGTTGGTGCTGCATGACAGCTGCAAATTTAGGTAAAACAGTCCCCAGCTACTCCGAGGGGTATGTGTATGTTAATTACTATGTGCTACTTCTCAGCTCCTGTGTTCATTTCCTTAGGCTGCTATAACAAATGACCCCCAACTGGGGGGCTTATAACAACAGAAATTTGTTAGGATTGGTGTCTTGAGCCTGTAGTCTCAGCTACTCGGGAGGCTAAGGTGGGGAGGATTGCTTGAGCTCAGGAGTTCAAGACCACAGTGAGGTATGATCACGCCACTGCACCCCAGCCTGGGCCACAGAGTGAGACTCTGATTAAAAATAAAACAAAACAAAACCATTCTTAAGTTTTATAATAGATGCTATCCATGAAGCAAGTTCCATGACTTACCAGGTACCACCCCCTGGTCCCTGAGCCATTTTTATTTTTATTTTTTTAAATTTAGAGACAAAGTCTCACTATGTTGTCCAGGCTAGTCTTTAACTCCTAGGCTCAAGCACTCTTCCTGCCTTAGCCTCCCAGAGTGCTGGGATTACAGGCATGAGCCACTGTGCCAAGCCGTTAAGGTAGTCTGGGAGGAAAGTGTAGGAGGGGAGGTGGGATCTCTGGAAATTGAAGCCACGTTAGTCTTTCAGTGGCTTCTTGTCTTCTCAAGCAGTCTTATTCTAATCAACCTTTTGGGAAGTTTCCTGCTCCTCCCCAGGATCAGGATAAGAAGGTAACTAATTGCCTTTCGTGGGGTGAAAATAAACTTAGAGGCAACAAACCTGTTAATTTCTAGCCATAGCTGCAGCTTTTACTCTGTGACCTGATATTAATTCTCTGTAGGTTTTGGGCTTAGCCAAGCCAGGACCCAGTTCTGACTCGTTGCTGCTGCCTGGGTGGTCCTAGGCAGCTGAGTCTTCTCTGCAAAATAGAGATGGCATCCCCACCTCAGAGGGATGCTGGGTGGGCTAGTGGATAAGAACCCAGCAGGGCTTGCTGTTGAGGCTTCTTGGGTTCTTGCGCGCCCAGCCTGCCCAGAAGCCGGCACCTAGAGCCGGCAGCTGCTGCCCTGGTGGATAAGGGACCCCTCCTGGGAAGGAAGCTGTAACTGGGTCTGTGGGGTGACTGCCACTCTCTGCTCCCTTGCCCTGCCTAAGCCTGACTGGGTAGGAACCGGCTAACCCCAGGGTTCTCCTCTCTGGTCAGCTGCCCTTCATGGGAAGCCCTTGCTGTGGGCAGCCTGTCCTGCTGCAAGGCCCACTGCGTGTCTTTGTGCTTATAAGTGAGGTCCCTCCCACGCTTCTGACTCCCTGAGCTCTCTGACAGCGGCACTGAGTCTTTTTAGTCACAGGTTCAGCCCAGAGTATGCTCAGTAGGTGTTTGCTCAGGTGAATTTTGGTTGCTGTATTTTAGTTGAAATACCCCCTTCATGGCCAGGTGCAGTGGCTCGTGCCTGTAGTCCCAACACTTTAGGAGGCAAAGGCGAGAGGATTGCCTGAGCCTACAGGTTTGAGACCAGCCTGGGCAACTTGGTGAGTCCTCATCTCTACAGTAAATAAAAAAATTAGCTGAGTGTTACGGCGCACACCTGTGGTTCCAGCTACTTGGATGTCTAATGCCATCAGGTCGAGCCTGCACTGCACTCTAGCCTGAGTGACAGTGAGACTCTGACTCCAAAAAAAAAAAAAAAGAACTGTGGCTTTCTTTTGGAGAGAAAATTTGTCTAGACTTCTGATCATATAAAAATCTTAACCTAGGGGCTGTGTAGAAAATGTAAGCTATTAAGGGCTGATTGAGACCTCACCATTTTTCTTTCCTTTTTTTTTTTCATCTAAAATTTATTTTGTGGCTTTAAAGGAGGTAAACGCATGAACAGCAATTTTTATTTTGCCAAGAAAGTGACAGTTCATTTGGCAGTATATTTGTAATTATACATAAAATATCTGCCTTATATACATTGACATCCTACAGCCATTTTTCTTTAAACAAAACAGGTATTTTATTTGAAATAGAAAACTTATTAAACATCTCCTCATTCAAAAATTGGGAAGTTTAGGGTCCTGCAATGTGGGGTCCTGCAGTGTGGAGACAGGCAGGGCCCTTGAGACACCTGGGGGCAGTGGCAGGGCCTGGTGGGCTGCACAGCCTGGGGCTGTGTCAAGCAGAGGTTGAGCCTCCCAGCACAGGCTGTATCAAAAGCCTGGGGGAAGCCGGGCTCGGTGGCTCAGCGCTTTGGGAGGCTGAGGTGAGTGGATTGCCTGAACCCGCGGGTTTGAGACCTGCCTGGGCAAATTGGCGAGACCTCATCTCTACAATAAATAAAAAATTAGCCGGGTGTGGTAGCGTGCACCTGTAGTTCAGCTACATAGAAGGCTGAGGCAGAGGATCACCGGAGCCCAGCAGGTCGAGGCTGCGGTGGCTGGGAGCGGCCACTGTACTCCATCCAGTCTGGGTGACAGAGTGAGACTCCAACTCAAAAAAAAAAAAAGCCTGGGGAAGCTGTCCAGAAGGACTTTCTGGGAGTAGGAACAACCAGTGCAGAGCCTCTGAGCAGGGCCTTGATTGGTGCAGCTGGAATGGATGGAGGTGGGAAGGGAGGTTTGAGAGGTCATGGGGCTAGGTGGATGGGCTTGGAGGGGGTATGTAGCTCCGTACTTTTTCTTTGAGCTGATGGGAAGCTACTGGAAGCTGCGTGAAGAGGAGCCTGTGGTGTTACTGCTGTGTGGGAAAGAGGTTCACAAGGCCTAAGTGCAGAAGCTGGGAGCCTTGAGAGGAGAGCAGGAGGTGCTAGGATTGTGGCAGGTGGGTGGAGGTGTGAGAGCGGTCAGGCTCCAGGAGTGTTTGGAGGGAGGTCTGCTGATGGATTGGTCCAATGAGGGATGAGGGTGTGAGAGAGAAAGATGGGCAAGAATGCAGGTGTTTGTCCTGAACAGTTGGAAGAACTGAATTAACACTCGCTGGATTGAGGAAAGTTATAAGAAGAGCCAGTCTTTGGGGAAAACCAGGAGTTCAAATTTGGATGTGTTGAGATGGATATGGCAAGAGAGTCAGTTGGTCCTGGGACTGGCCGGTCTGGAGTCCAGGGCAGGCCCATGCTGGAGCTCAGGGTCCCGGGGCTGGATGACGGTGGGAGCTGGAGGAAGACTGAGCAGGCACGGCCGGGCTGGGAGGAGAGCCAAGAGAGTCTGTTCCAGAAGCAGATGAAGGCAGGCTTGTGGGAGGGAAGGGCCTGTCAGGTCAGGTGCTGGCTGTCAAGTTTGGCTCTGTGGGCATCCTTGGTGACCTTGACAGAAGGGATGAATATGCCACAGGAGGCAAGAGGGGAGACTGTAGTTAGGGGAGATGTCTTGTGGAGGAGTCTGCTGTCCAGGAGGGCAGAGAAGAGACTGGGGCTTTTTGGGGAGCGGGGGTCTAGAGGGTTCCTTTTTAGTTTTAAGATGAGAATGCGCATCTTAAAACTAATGATTGAGGGAATGATCAGTATAGTAGAGAGGGAGAAATCAATGAGCTGGAGGGATGCCCTCAAGAGATTGGGGTGGAGGACCTATGTGGGGGTAGAGCATCTGATGTGGCAGAGGGAAGGCAGTGGTGGGAGGTGCAGTAGAAGGTGGGCAGGGAGGAGGGGTACTGGGCAATGTGTATTCTCAGTAAAACAGGAGCAAGTGAGTTGGCTGAGATGAGGGTAGGGAGGAGTGGGAGAGGGAGGTGCAAAGCAAATGCAGGGCAGGATCAGTGAGGGGTACACTTTTGGGAGGGCCCATGGGCCGGGGTGGTCCTGGTGAGAGGATGAATTGCAGCAGCTGAGGGTTTGAGGGAGCAGGCTAGAGAGTCCTCCTCGTGTTTGGGGGATGCTGTACTCAGCATGAAGTTTTCTGAGGAGTGGGGCAGAGCTTCGATGGAGGTGACTGGAGTCCCTGGTGTCTGTAGTGTCACTGAGTTGACAAGGTCCTTCTTTAAAGAGAGGATAGTAAGTTGTTTAGACTTGCAGGCCACATGGCCTCTGTTGCAGCTGCCCAACTCTGTGGTCCTAGTGCAAAGACTGTCAGACAAATGCAGACAATGGGCATGATTGTGTTTCCATAAAATATTATTTACAGAAGTAGGCAGCACATGGGATTTGGCCTATGGGTTGTAGTTTGCTGACCCTGTTGTGGGTGGATACTGAGATCCCAGGAGATACTAGGAGGAGCTGGGGAGAGCTACGTGAGTGGGACAGTGTCTGTGAGCAGCAGGGCTGACTGGTGGTGTTTGGAGGCCGTGGGGCAGGGGGGCACCTACTGCACCCCAAACCCAGAGGACTGTGGGGAGGCAAAGACCAATGAAACCAGAAGATGGCAGCAAGTCTCAGAAGCCTGGGACACGCGAGTGAGTGGAGGAATGGAGGAAAGGAGTGAACAGGGCTAACCTGTGGTTCTCCTTGGAGGCTGAGGTGCTGGGATATTGGGGAAGGGCATTTTTTGGTTGTCATAAATGGCAGAGGGTGCTGTGGCATGCAGTACTGGGACAGGAGGGATAGCACCCCAGCATGCCTGATGCTCTGCTGAGAAGTGCAGGGATGTTTACAGTGGTGGGAAGAGGCAAGCCCAAGAGGAGAGTACCCTAACCCTGGCGTGGGGCTGGCTTTTCTGCCTAGAAGTGTTAGGGGCTGGTCTTCTGTGGCCCAAGCAGACACTCTTTCTTCAGGTCTGGGCGTTTTCTTTCGTCATCTCTGGTGGCTCCTGCCTCCAAGTCCCTGCTCTCTCCTAATGGAACTCCCATCATTAATGGACTGGACAATTGGGCGGGACTCTCCTTTTTATCTTTTCTATTAGAAAGTAAATATGATGAGGGCAAGAATCTTGTCTGTTCTCAGTCTTTGATTCTGGAATGCGGCCTGATCCTCAGTGGACACAAACGTATTTGTTGAGAAACACTGTACTTGCACATCAGAAGCTTTCTTGAGTTGAAAGCTTAGCCCTTTGCCAAGAGTCTTGGGGCACCTGAGCTTACACAGGATGACAGGAACACAGTGAGTGCAGACGACCAGGGTCCCCAGACAGAGCTGTACTGGAGGATTGGGACCAAGGCTCAGATGCCAGACAGCCCCCGCTGTTTTGTTTTTCAACAAACAAAAATTGTTTGCTGAAAGGCAATTAAGTGGCTTTCTGAGTCAGAAAAGTAAGCTTAGAAACCATAGCCTGGTTCTTAGAGGAGTAATGACAGAGCATCTGTGGATGTGCCTGCTGCATTCCTGTAGCCTCCTTCACCTGTGAAACTCCTTCAAAGAAATCAAAGGGCAGAGAGAAACTGATCATCGTGGGGCAGCCGTGGATGCAACACCAACTGACTTGCTTAGAGGGCTCCCACCAATCAAATGTGGGCATCAAATAAATAATGGCAGCAAAGAATTGAAACCCAGTGAATAAAACAAGAATCCATGAGCCCACACTGATGTGAATAAACAGCTAAATAGATCCATGGGAGTGAAGAGAAAGTTCTTCCTTATAGTATAAAGTCAGCTAAGAAATGTAGGTGCAGCCGGGCTCGGTGGCTTAGCCTGTAATCCTGCGCCTTTGGGAGGCTGAGGTGAGTGGATTGCCTGAGCCTGCGGGTTCAAGACCCGCATGGGCAACTTGGCGAGACCTCATCTCTACAATAAATCAAAATGAGCTGGGCGTGGTAGCACGTGCCTGTAATTCCAGCTACTTGAAAGGCTGAGGCAGAAGGATCACCAGAGCCCAGCAGGTTGAGGCTGCGGTAGCCAGGAGCAGGCACTGCACTCCAGTCTGGGTGACAGAGTGAGACTCCAACTCAAAAAAATAAATAAATAAATGTAGGTGCATGAATGGTTTTAGAAAAATCACCATTTGGCAACCTCCTAATAACTGATTTAGGCAGAGGTAAATTAACAGATGCTAAAATTAATGGGCAAAGCTTGAGAGCAACAAGATATTTACATAGTGTTCAAGGTATCCCCATGAGATACTTGTTAGTCACAAAGGGAAATGTACTGACTTTCAAGGCAAGTAGCCTGCAGACACCCTGTTACTGTGACACTGAGCCAGCCTCGTTGCTCATGGGATAGGCAGACTTGGGAACCTCCAGTCCAGGTCTATGGGACTTCTGCCCAAAGGGTCCAGCCACAATTGCTGCCATATGCTGTCCCCAGCAGCTGGCCCACTGCCTCCCACCAGCATGTGATGTGGGACTCATTTGTTTTTTTAGAGACAGGGTCTCGCTCTGTCATCTATGCTCTTGCAGTAGCATGATCATAGCTCACTGCAGCCTTAATTCCTGGGCTCAGGCCATTCTCCCACCTCAGCCTCCTGAGTAGCTAGGACTACAGGCACGTGTTGTCACACCAGCTAATTTTTTATTTTTTGTAGAGATGAAGTCTTGCTATGTTGCCCAGACTGGTCTCAAACTCCGGGCCTTAAGTGAGTCTCCTGCCTTGGTCTTCCAGAGTGTTGGGATTACAGGTGTTCATCACTGTGCTCAGCCTGTTTTTACAATCTTGCTCTTATATGTGAGTGTCTGCAGCCTTACTGATGATCGTGACCCCATGGGTTGCCTCACTGAGGAAGAGAATGTGCCTGTGAGGAACATTCTTTTGGGCAAGTGTGGACAGGACTCATCTGGGTTGCTTCTCTCCACATTGTCTGACAGGGGCTTTTTTCTGTCACAGGCTGTAGCAAGGTGCTGCTGAGGCCCCGGACAACAGAGGAGGTGTCCTGCATCCTCAGGTAATGTGAAGGTGCCACAGCTCCTGGTCCTGCCTTGTTTTCGTGTCACTCATGAGTAGTTTTCTCGTGAAGCCTGTGAGTAGCAAGTGGTGACACAGTGAGAAGCTGCAGATGGCATTTTGGTTTATGTTACCTCAGTATATTTTCTGCTGGCATATGTACGGTTTTTTTAAAGTGTTAGCACACGCTGTCTTTGATTTTTGTAGTCATTTCCTCCCATTTGGCAATACCTACGTCCATTTCTTGGTGCTGATTGTTCTTCCATGTGGTTTTTAACGCATGGAAGATAATCTACCTTCAATACACTACAATTCACCAGTTCCCTGGAGTTGCATCTTGAGCTGGTCTCCAGTTTTACCTTGTTATAATTAATGCTTCAGAATATCCTTGGCAGGTGAACTTTGGGGCAGTTCCTACTTTCCCTGTTAGAATTCATCCCTGGGACTTGCTACTGCCAGGGTTTACTTGATGCATGTGGGCAAATTGCTCTCCAGGGACAGGGAGTTCTGCTTTCTCCAAACCCTTGCCCATTGAGTGTCCTCATTGTTTGGGGTCTTTGCAAAAGCAGGCAGGAATTGCAGGGAGTAGGGGTGGTGGGCTGTGGGGCCGTGAGCTGGATACTCTGTGAGCACCATGAGAACAGAAGGCAGCCAGGCATACGGAACTTTCTGTACTTAGAGGTGAGACCTTATAGGCTGTTAGAATCAGGGCCTCACCTTCAATTTGGGGAACATTTTGTGTCTGTCTCTGTCTGTCTCTGTCTCCCTGTGCACAGTTTTAGAGTGGACATCTGGCCTTCCTCAGGAACCCTCATGTGTGGACTGAGGAGAGCCTCCATTGAGGCAGCGGTCAGGGCAACCTGGCTGGGTGGTGGAAAGGCCATGAAGGGGCATTTGGGATCAGGCAATGGTCCTGCAGCATGTCCCTTGGGAACAGTGATGTGGGAGTGGGGACAGGGCCCCGATTCCTCTCTGTGCTCATTCTAGGCACTGCCATGAAAGGAACCTGGCTGTGAACCCACAGGGGGGAAATACAGGTATGGTGGGGGGCAGTGTCCCCATCTTTGATGAGATCATCCTCTCCACTGCCCTCATGAACCAGGTCATCAGCTTCTACAGTGTATCTGGTAAGCCAGTGCCACCTATAGGAGCTGACTGCAGCATGTCCTTCCCGGTACTAGTCAGAGTTCCTTCCTTGTCTGCCCATGGGACTGTAATTGGGCAAGCTAGTGTGCCAGGGGTGGGGGTGAGGAATAGGGCACCTGGGCTGGGAAAGAACCAGTAGCTATAGCTTGACTGCCCAGCCCTATCACACCTAGCCCTTCCACCAGTGTCTGCTGTGGGGTCACTTAGATGATGTATGCTATGGATTTGTCACTCTGCTTCCTTCCGACTCCAGCCCTTTCTGGAGGTGTGTGAGGTACAGTAGGCAACAGGCGTGAAGAGGCTCCTGTGCTCCCATAGTGTGGGCACCCATGAGGTCATGGTCTGCTCGGGAGCAGGCTTCACCCCCCTGGGCGTGGGGCCCTGCTCATTCTCTGCTCTCTGGCACCTGGGCACTGTATAGGTTGTTGAACAGCATCTCTGGCCTCTACCCATGCCATGCCAGCAGCACTCCTAACACAAAATGTCTCTAGACATTGTCAGATGATCCTTGGGGGCAGGATCACTCCCAGCTGAGAGTCACTGCTTTGTAGTAGTCTTCTCTCTTTCATTCCTTTTCTTTCTTTTTTCTTTCTTTTTTTTTTTGAGTCAGAGTCCCGCTCTGTCACCAGGTTGGAGTGCAGTGGTGTGCTCACGGCCACTGCAGCCTCGATCTACTGGGTTCAGGTGATCCACCTCAGCCTTCCAAGTAGCTGGGACTACAGGCATGCGCTACCATGCCCAGCTAATTTTTTTTATTTATTGTAGAGATGAGGTCTTGCCAAGTTGCCCAGGCTGGTCTCAAACCTGTGGGCTCAGGCAGTCCTCTTGCCTCTGCCTCCCAAAGTGCTGGGATTACAAGCCTGAACCACTGTGCACAGCCCATTCCTTTTCATCTACACACATGCTCGGTGTGTGAAGGTTTTCTTCTCTATTTTTGCCTTACCCATTTTACTTCATCACTGTAACCATAAAGGTACCTTTAGGTCCAGATGTTTTGTTCTGGGGGAGGAAGTGGGGGTTTGCCTCTTTTCCTCTGCCCTGGCTATGAGGCTGATGATGTTCCATCTGGGTGGTTTGCATCTGTCGGTGGGACTGGGGTTGGGATCCCCCAGCTGCGAGAATCTCACTCATCCTGGAAGTAGGATCACCATGGAAACTCTGGTTGCTCTCTGCAGGAATTCTGGTTTGCCAGGCGGGGTGCATCCTGGAGGAGCTGAGCCGGTATGTGGAGGAACGGAACTTCATCATGCCGCTGGACTTAGGAGCCAAGGGCAGCTGCCACATTGGGGGAAATGTGGCGACTAATGCAGGTGGCCTGCGGTTTCTTCGATATGGCTCGCTGCACGGGACTGTCCTGGGCCTGGAAGTGGTGAGCCGGGGTAGCAGCTTGTGGTGCAGAGCCTGCCACAGGGGTGTCCTGGCTAGAGTCTTGGGGCTGCACTCACAGGTTCTAAGTGATGGTGCAGGTGCCAGAGGTCCCTTGGCATGTAGGTGATCTTCCTTCCTGTTGTAGTAGCCCTTGGGCCCCTCAGGTACGTGTGGGCTACACACACCCCTGCACTCGGAGGCCCACCCTGACTTCCCATGAGACACATGGGGAGCTGCTAGGGGACTCTTCATAGCAGCAGCAACATTTCACCTGGGCTGGGTTTCCAGGAGCTGGAGTGTGAAGGAAGGTTAATCCAAGGTCAGCTTCATGTACTGACCGACCATTGCCAGCCTCCCCTCTGGCCCTTTGTGTCCCTGAACTCTCACCAATCTGAGTATAATGACAGAGCTCTCTGTCCTTGTCACCCAAGTGCATGGAGCAAACACAAAACTGTTTTGCTTCCATCTGCTAAATCATGACATTCCAGTAGCTTTGTATTCTGGCCAGCTATGGATTATTTTATTGTAAGTCACTTTCTTGTTTTCATGAGCTGTATCAGTAAGCACTGACAAATAAATAACAGCAAACAAGATTGTAACAAGACTTCTGGCCAGGCATGGTGGCTTATACCTATAATCCCTGCACGTTGGGAGGCTAAGGAGGAGGATTGCTTGAGGCCAGAAGTTCAAGACCAGTCTGGGCCACATAGTGAGACCTTGTCCCTGTAAAAATTTGTTTTTAAGTTAGCCAGGCATGATAGCGCATGTCTGTAGGCCTAGCTACTCAGGAATCTGAGACAGGAAGATCACTTGAGTCCTGGAGATCAAGGTAACTCAGAGTGAGACCCTGTCTAGAAAGAAAGGAAGGAAGGGAGGGAGGGAGGGAGGGAAGGAGGAAGGAAGGAAAGGAAGGAAGGAAGAAAGGAAGGAAAAAAGACTCATACAGGCTTACAATGTGGGCAACTGCGATGCCTTATGGCTGAGGGGTCGGGGATGGAGCTGGGCCCTGTGGCAGTATAGTTCTCAACAGTTCTCAATGCTCCACCCCTTTCTATCCCAGGATTGCTCCCTACTCACCCCCAGGTATGTTCCCTGCTTTGAGCAGCTTTGCTCCAGCAGCTGGGCAGTGAGCTTCCTAGTGTGTGGTGGAGGTGGGGTTGGGGGGAATCCCACTTTAACTGAAGGACAAGTCCTTCCTTCAGTGTGATTGGGTAACCACAGGCCTTCCACTTCTGGTCCCACTTAATTCCTAAACTAAACTGGGGTAGGGGGCTCGTGATTAAAGAGATGATCCACTTGGTCTGTTAGGCAACTAGCAGCAAGTGAACACCTGTTCCTCTTCTCTCCCAGGTACTTGCCGATGGCACCATCCTGAATTGCTTGACGTCCCTGCGGAAAGACAACACTGGCTATGACTTGAAGCAGCTCTTCATTGGGTCAGAGGGCACCCTGGGGGTTATCACGGCCGTGTCCATCCTGTGTCCGCCCAAGCCCAAGGCTGTGAATGTTGCTTTCCTCGGTAGGCTTCCTCAATTTACTTCTCATAAAGGGCAGCTGGGTTTGAGCCAGTAGCTATTCCAATGTAGGCATGAGGGAGGGGATGGAAGGAGCCCTCTCAAGACAGTGCATTTCTATTTTCCTGGCTTTTCTGTTTCCAGAGGAATCCAGGACCTGGCCTTCCTGGTGTTCATAGAGTGTAAGTCTGGAGTTAGAGCCTCTCCCTGTCTCTGGTCAGGTCACAGTTTGGTAACTAAGGTTTTGGTTGTCTCTTGCACCCTATTGTGTTCATTATTTAAATAACTTATAGCATAAGCTTCTAAGGGAAATGATATAATTTGCCATAAGGTCTGGGACACAACTCTGTTAATTGCCATGGGGATAAATAGTACCCTCCTGTAAGAAAGGGTAGGTTCACCCATGTCAGTCCAGGTCATTGTCTCAGCAAACACACTTGCTACCATATCTCCATCGTAAAGGACCTTTTGTGTCTCCTTACGCCTCTCAACTACCATTCAGTTTCTCTGCTTCTCTTTGCAGCAGACTTTAAAATGAGCTTACATCCGTTTTCTTCAGTTTTCCTTCCATGATCTACCTTCCAACTCCTTTCCAGCCTGTATTCAGATTGGTTAGGTTTATCTAGCATTTTCTCCTCCACTAGTTCAGAAGTTACACAAACTGCCAGTCTTCTAGAGGCCACAGTAGGCATGTTTAACTTACTAAAACTAAGTTTAGTTGATACCTTCACCTTGCCGGAACATTCAGCAATCTTGAAGAATACTTTAACTCTGTTTATCCTCCCCCTCAACAATTTACATGCTCTACTTGTCATGTATCTTAATTCTGTCTTTAAAAAAAAAAAAACCTGTCGCTGGGCGCAGTGGCTCATGCCTGTAATCCCAGCACTTTTGGAGGCAGAGGCAAGAGGATTGCCTGAAACCCAGGCGTTCGAGAACAGGGAGAGACCTCATCCCTACAGTAAATTAAAAAATTAGCTGGGCGTGGTGGCACACATCTGTAGTTTCTGCTACTTGGAAGACTGAGGCAGAAGGATCGCTTGAGCCCATCAGGTCGCGGCTGCAGTGGCCATGAGCATGCCAGTGCACTCCATTTTGGGCAACAGAGTGAGACTCAAACTTAAAAAAAAAAATCTCTCTAATCATAATTATTATTATTCTGTGGGCCACTTTCTTTGCTCTTCATTCTTTCTTGCTTCAGATCTGTCATTTGGGAACATGCTCATTGCAGATACATCCTTGATCATTTCCTGTAATAAAGGTCTGCTGGTGATCAGTGCTCCCACTTTTAGTGTGTCTGAATATATTTTTATTTCACTTTCATTCTTGAAAGTTACCTTCACAAGGCATACAATTACAGGCTCGTATTTGTCTTCTTTCATCCCATTTAAAATATCATTCCACTGTCATCTGGCTTTAATGTTTTTGGAAAGTTAGCTATCTTCTGGGATTCTGCCTTTTCCCAGTCCCTCCTTGGGACCTTTAGAGATCTTTTTTTTTCTCTTTAGTCTTCTAAAGTTTTCAATGTGTTGTGAGTGAGCATACATTCTTTTTCTGGAATCATCTCTCTGGAATTATTGAACTTAAACCTATGGCTTGGTGTCCTTTACCAGCTGTAGAAATTCTTAGCTATTACTGCTTCAGCTGTTACCTGTTTTCCTCTCTTTTTGGGCCTGTGATTAAACATGTGATAGAACTTCTCAATTTGTCTTCCATGTTTCAACCTCTCTTCCATATTTTCCATCATTTTGACTCTCTGTGCTGCATTCTGCATGATTTCTTCTGATCTCTTTTCTATTTCACTTCTGCTGTGTTCGGTATACTACCAAACCCATCCATGGATGGTTCCCCCGTGTCCATTGAATTTTAAGTTTTTATTATAATAGTTTTTATTTCTAGAAGTTTTGTCTGTATTTTTTAATTGAAATCTACAATATCACTTTTTATAGATTTCTGTTCCTTCCAGATTTTTTTTTTTTTTGAGTTGGAATCTCACTCCACTGCCCAGGCTAGAGTGCAGTGGCATGCTCATGGCCACTGTTTTTTTTTGTAGCGACAAGGTCTTACCAAGTTGCCCAGGCTGGTCTTGAACGCCTGGGCTCAGGCAGTCCTCTCGCCTCCTCCCCCAAAAGTGCTTAGATTATAGGCTTGAGCACTGTGTCCAGACTGTTTTTTTTTTTTTTTTTGAGTCAGAGTCTCACTCTGTTACCCATGTGGGAGTGCAGTGGCATGCTCATGGCCACTGCAGCCTCAATCTGCTGGACTCAGGCAGTCTTTCTACCTCAGCCTTCCAAGTAGCAGGTACCACCCCATTCAGCTAATTTTTTGATTTATTATAGAAACAAGGTCTCGCCAAGTTGCCCAGGCTGGTCTTGAACCCTCAGGCTCAGGCAGTCCTCTCGCCTCTGTGTTGCAAAGTACTGGGATTACAGGCATGAGCCACTGCACCTGACTGGTATTTTTAAGCTCATCATTTGTGGCTTTAAGCGTAGTTAGCATAATTTTTTTTATAATGTCTTATAATCAGAAAATTCAATTTTGTTTTTGAGTCTTGAGGTCTGTTTTTACTGTCCACTGTTTCTGCTGGTTCTTGTTTGTGGTCCCTTTGCTTGGCTACCTTTGGTAGTGTACAGCTCATTGTCATTGAAGAGTTATTTTGGGGGCTCCTAGAGGCCAAGGATCGGGTACCTTCAGAGAGGATTTGCTTTTGCTTGAGTGGCTTTGGGTCCTTCCAATTTGGGAATAACCCAGAACAAGTTCACAGTTCTGTGAACCTCCCAGGCAGCAAGAAGCCAACTTGCAAGTCAGTGCAAAGCTGATTTATCATGATTTATCAGGAGAGTTTTTTCTTCCATTCTCCTTTTTTCTTGTTCTGTTTTTGTTTTTGTTATTGAGTTGGAGTCTCACTCTGTCACCCAGGCTGGAGTGGCTCCCGGCCACTGCAGCCTCAACCTGCTGGGCTCCGGCGATCCTTCCGCCTCAGCCTTCCAAGTAGCTGGAACTACAGGCACGCGCTACCACACCCGGCTAATTTTTTTTTTTTTTTCCTTGTTCTGTTCAGCAACTGTCTTCAGGGGAGTTGGTGGGGGACAGGCTTGCTTCTACCCACCCTGGCTCCCAGTGTGTGGCCCTGTGGGGGTCTCCTCTTCAATTCCTCGCCTTGGGCAGGTGTGGAAGCTTGAGGCTAAACCTGCTGGCATGGCAAGGGCTGTCAGAGAAGAACAGTTCTGGGCTTGGTGCCATTGAGCCCTCACATCGAGCCAGGCACTCCCAACTTGTGATGCTCTCCAATAATTTACTTTAGTGTTTCTTAGCTTGGCATTTTTTTGTTGTTTTCAGTGAGATATTAGATCATGTGGCCTAGCCCATCACTGCCAGGTGGAGGTCTCTTCTCTTTTCTGGGTCCGCCCTAATTAGGCCTTGCCCACTTCACCAATACCACTCCCACCAAGGCTGCTAGTGTCCTTCCACAGTGAGCCCAGTGGTCAGCTCTTAGTGTTCCTCTTGCACATTGGCTTTGGGCATAAGCCTGACCTCTGTGGTGCTCGTCCCCACTTCCTTCTCATTTGCCTTCCACCCCAGCCCCCACTGAGGCTCCTCCCCCTTCAACCTCAGAACATTCCTGGGCAGCTCTGACTGCATCTCCCCAGACTCACTCTCTGGGTGGCACTATCTGGATTGACGGCTCAACTTCGCCTGCATTTTCTATTTCCTGCCCTGAACTGACGCCAACTGTACTCACCTGTGTGCCACCTACTCAGCAGCCCTGAGAACCCGACAGCCCACCCATAGATGCCCCAAGATCTTTCCCCCTCAGTTTTCCTTTCTCAGAAAGGAGTCACTTACTTCCTCTTTGTCCCACACCCACATCTAAACCATCTTCAGAACAGGCCTCTCCAGTGACTGTCACCATGCTGTCATCCTACATGTTTTTGGTCTTGGCTAGGCTCTCTGGGGACTACTAGCCAGCACTGTTCCTGCCCTGCAGCTGCTGGAGCAACTTCCTCAGGCACAAGTCTGGTGCAGCACTCTTGTCTCACCTCCTGGGAGCTTCCCAACCACTCAGCAAGATGTAGAATCCCTACCTCCAGGTCCCCAACACCATTGGCAACCCCCAGACCCTGGCCCTGAGCCCATCTCCATCCACACCTGCATCACTGCAATCTGGCCACAGGCCTCGAGGTGTTCCTGGGTCATGCAGGGCAAGCATCTGTCCCCAACCCCTGCACCTGCTGGACCTTCTCTTTGGAACATTCTTCACTATTATCCATGTACCCTCACACCACCTCCTCATCTCAACCGTGAAAGACCAGGCACAGGCACCCCTCCAGCCACAGGATCTCCGGGCCACCTGCCTGTCAATATCTCCACTTGGTTCCTTTCCACAGCTGTGCCTGATGGTCAGCTCCCCTGGAGCAGAGGTCTCGCCCACAGTCCCCCAACCCTGGAGCACTGAAGCAGTCTTGGAGTGTCCAGTAAACATGTGTTGAATGAGTTCCTGAGAGTGGGGAGGACTTGTGTGCTAGCTGTGTTAAGGGAAACACGGCTGTTTCCAAAGGCTGCCTGTCCCTGACCCTGTCCCAAGATGTGTCCCCCTCTGATTCCCATCCCGAGTGCTATGGAGGTTCTTAGGCACCTTTTCTGTCCTGGTCTGACACTGGTGGTGACACTTGAGATGCACTTGTTGACTGTTGACTGACCTATGGTTTTTTGCCACAGTGGCAAGCTTCCTACTTCATGAGGCTACTCTGCTTGCCTGACCTGTTGCGAGTTGGGTTGGTGTTGGGGCTTTCACGGGGGACCTGGGCTGGCTGTGTGTGTAATAACTCCAGGTCCTACTTGTCCTTTCAATGTGTGGCACCTGGTGTACTGTGGTCCATTGCAGGCTGTCCAGGCTTTGCTGAGGTTCTGCAGACCTTTAGCACCTGCAAGGGCATGCTGGGCGAGATCCTGTCTGCGTTCGAGTTCATGGATGCCGAGTGTATGTGGCTAGTCAGACACCATCTCCACCTGACCAGGCCGGTGCAAGGTACTGACTTCCATGCAGCTGGGCAGCTGGCCCCACTACTCCTCCTGTGCCTGGGCACGTTGGATGACTAACAGGTCTTCACGGATGGAGGGGCCCCTGGTGGGCAGGGCATCCCTGGGCAGAGCACTGTGTGACCATGGAGCTCTCTTTTTTTAAAAAAGATGTGGGGTATTCGGTAGCTCAGCCTGTAATCCCAGCACTTCGGGAGGCCAAGGCAAGAGGATTGCCTGAGCCTGGGGGTTCTAAACCAGCCTGGGCAACTTGGTGAGACCTCTTCTCTAAAATAAATTACAAAAACTAGCCAGACATGGTGGTGTGTATCTGTAGTTCCAGCTACTCGGAAGTCTGAGGCGAAAGGATTGTCTAAGCCCAGCAGGTAGAGGCTGTAGTGGCTGTGAGCATGCCACTGCACTCTAGCCTGGGCGACAAGAGTAATACTCCAACTCAAAAAAAAAAAAAGATGTGGGGTACAATTCAGGATTAGGTATATAAGTGGTCATCATATAGGTAAAGTTTGGGCCTTCCTTTGGTCCCTACATTGCCTGGTTTGAGATTAGGTATTCTTATTGATGTTGTGTTCCCCTCCCCACCCTCACCACTCCCCCCTACCCCCCCAACGCCCCCTGCCGGGCAGTATCCCTCTACTACCAATCCCTTTCTTATAGTATTAGAGTAAATGTTCAGGGTCCGCTTATAAGTGAGAACATGTTCTTTATTTCTAGAAAACTGCTCTTAACATAATGTTTAGAGCAAAGAACAGGCCACCCCCATCTTGTAGAAGGTTTGCAGTTTCACAGATCTCTCTGACCACATAGAAGAAGACAGGAGGGCACTAAGCTAAAATCGTCACAGGTTGTTTCTGGCAAGCTGGGAGATTTTCTTTCCTTTTCTTTGTTTTCCAGAGCTCTTTTTATAAGCATGTTTTACTTTTATAATGAGAAAAACAGCCAGAATGTTTTGAAACGTCTCAATGATATGTGTGACTTGTGGTAAATTTAAGAGTAGAATTTCCTTTTCAGCAGGCAAAAATGCCAGTATCTGAAAAATATTTGTATTCTCTTTGTAGTAGAATGAACTTGAAATACTTTTCTGGGAGAAACTTTAATGTTGTGTTAAGAGACAGAACAGTGACACTTGGTAAATTCTTGTTTAATGATTTCAGTAAATGTAAACAAAAAATCATGGTAACCTTGAAAAAAAATACAAGCTTAAAATTTTCCTAAATAAGTAATATATATTTGGCTTCTTACAGTTTAAGAAATAGACACTATAGTGAAGAGCATGGCCTCCTGACCTGTTGCTTATAGCATTCTAGTGTATGAGGCCACTGAAGGGCATCTACCTTCATGGTGGCCTCTCCCATGAACCTTAGGTTGGTATAGATGGATGAGCCAGCACTGAGAGCCACCTCAAGGTCAGTGGGAGGTGCTGATGGGGTGAGTCGCCCAGGGCTTTTGTGTATTTTCCAGTGAGCATTGTTTTTCTTACCATAAAAGGTGTCTTTTTATTGATTGATTTATTGAGTCAGACTCTTACTCTTTCGCCCAGGCTGAAGTGAGTGGCACGTTCAAGGTCACCACATCCTCGACCTGCTAGGCTCAGGCGATCCTTTCACCTTAGCTTTCCAAGTAGCTGGAACTACAAGCACACACTACTATGCTTAGCTAAGTTTTTGATTTACTGTAGCGATGTGGTCTCACCAGGTTGTCTACGCTGATCTTGAATCTCTGGACTCAGGTAGTCCTCTCACCTCTGCCTCCTAAAGTGCTGGAATTACAGGCGTGAACCACCACACCCAGCAAAAGATATATTTTTAAAGTGTCTGAAATTCAGCCTAACTAGAGAACTGCCTACTTCACAGGCCGCCTGGTGTCCCCGTGGCTGAAGAAAGACCACTCTGGGCTATTTTAGTTGTTTGATCCAGAGTGATTCTACTTCTCGACCCAACAGCCTGGATTTGCTTACTGCTTTCCTTGCTCACTTCCAGAGAGCCCATTTTATGTCCTTATCGAGACCTCGGGCTCCAGTGCTGGCCACGATGCTGAGAAGCTGGGCAACTTCCTGGAGCACGTGCTGGACTCTGGCCTGGTGACTGATGGGACTTTGGCCACTGATGAGAGAAAAATCAAGGTGAACTATATTTTCCTGGCGGGTCCCTCCTTCCCTCTCTATCCATCCAGACATATCTAGGGAAGTCTGGAGGTGTAATCTGTCCAGTGTAGACAGTGTGGGTGGTGGGTGACTGGTTTTATGCTTTGATGGAATCAATCACCTCTTTGGAATGGAATATGTATTCCTGGTGTCTAGATAGTTTTCATCAATATCTAAATATTCCCTACTGTGTCCCCCTTTCCCTCCCCTCCACCCCCCACCCTCAAGCTGCAGGATGAGCAAAATAGCCCTTTGCCAGTCCCGGAGCCTGTGGTGTAGCTGCCCGTCAGCAGGTCTTCATAGAATTGTACAGAATGAGCAGAGGCAGAAAGAACTGAGGGCTATGGAGGCTTAGCCTGGAGGTTGAGTGAGTCTGTGGGTGGGCAGAGTTTTCTAGAGGAAAAAACATGAACTGTATTACCAGGAAATGGTTTGACTTCTTGAAGGCGGTAGTGGGAGCTGTTGGTCATCTTCGCTAGGGCCTGGGCAGTGGGAGAAATAAGTCACCTTCACTGGGTCCTGGATGGTGGGAGCTATCAGTCACCTTTACTGGGGCCTGGGCAGTGGGAGACATAGGTCACTGTTGCTGGTCCTGGATGGTGTGTGCCATCACTCCCATTCCCCACTGGGTTTCTTGGCTGCAGTGTGAGGAGTAACCAGCAGGGGGTGGAAGAGCAGCTGGGCACTGAGGCCAGGGCTCTGGCAGGCAATGGAGACGACTGGGTTTGACCTGCATGTGGATGAGTAGGGACTGCAAAGCCATGCTAGTCTTGGGCTTGTTGATGTCAAGTGGTTGGGCCTCATCTATGTTCTTTTTCTACTTTGTTAGTAAAGCTTTTTCTTTACAATTAATATTTATGTTTGTTAAAGTGTTATATATAAGTAGTTACAAACACTACTTTGTACTAAATGCTTTCTGTCCAGGTGCATCCTCCCTCCTAGGGCATGTGATGGCCTTTATCTTCAAACTGATCCCCAGTTGTGGTAACCAGGGACACGACTCTTTCTGTCTTCCCATCTCTGCCTCTCCTGTATCTGACTATTGTGATTTTCCCACTTGGGGTTAAAGCAGTGTTAGTTCCCTAAGGACAGGGATGTCATCGGCTGCATTCACTGGTATATCCTGGAGTCTAGCATATGGGAATCAACCACCTGAATGATGGTTTTCAGTACCCGGCGCATGCAAGGTCGTGTGGAGTCATTCTCTACCCAGCTGAGAGTTGTGATTGATAGTGCTTCCATCCAGTTATTTGCCTACCTCTCCTGCTTTTTCTGACTATACCAGACCCATTAGCTCTGGTAGATTGTCACAGTAACCAACAGACCCCCGAGGCCACCATAACAAAGGCTCACTCCCTTGGGTTGTGTGTTGGTGCTTTGGCATTGCTGCAACTCTCCTCCATGTATCTGCCCATCAGGGAACCCATTCGGAAGCAAGGCCCCAGCTTCGTCATTCTGTTCTCTCAGCAGGGAGAAAGAGCAGGACAGCTTCTGCTCAGAACTGGATGTTGTTCTGCTTGAATCTCATTGGCCATCGTGAGTAATGTGAGCCCACCTGCCCCAGGTGGTGTAGGTGGGGGACCCTCTTCCTGCAGTCACTGCATCACTGGGGAGGGCAGCAGTAATATGGCTGCCACACACACCCCCAGGTGGCTGCCTCTGAACGCACTCATCCTCACACACATGCCCCCAAACCCCTCTGGTAGAGTCTGGACTTGTGTCCCAAATGTGATGCCCAAGCCAGGCTGGTGACCAGGAGTTGCCAGGTAGTATTGGTTCTGGTGTTTCCCCCTCTCCTTCCCCAGCCCTGTGTTATTTCCAGTTGTGAGTTTGCTGCGCCTACCTCCAGGAGCCTCCTAAAAAAGCTTCAGGAGGGGCCTCGAGTGAATGCCAACACCTGTATTCTGCACTCTAGTTTGATTGCTGGGCTGGGTAATCTGTTTTGTTTTGCGTTTAGCAAAACCACCCTTTCTTAGATGGACAACTCATTGAATTTGACAAGTGTCTGTGGTTGTGTGAGTAATTGTTTCGGAAGCTTTTCTCTGCTGTCTTCCATATTCAGTGAGGCTCTGGGGAAGTCCGGTGCCATTCTGCTTTTTCTAGTTCCTTGTAGGTTTTTTCCTTCTGGGAGCTTTTGGTTTTCTGACATGGGCATCTCATGGGTCCAGCAGTTGTTGTGTTAAACGTTTAACAGAGGACTCTCCATCAGCCTTGCCCAGTCCTGACTCTGCCCACACCCTACCCAGGTTGTAGCACCCATGGGGTACTCGGTGGCTTATACCAGATGCTCAGGACTCTTTTGAGCTATGGCCATGGTGAGTCTTGTTGGTGCTACCTGTCCTCCTGTCATGTGTTTATTTGTCAACGGACCTCTGTTGGATGCTTCTCTGACCTGTGCCTACTGGTGTTCCATCCAAAGGGTGATAACAGTGATCAGAACAGGAACAACTTTGCCCCACAAACCTCACATGACAACATGAATAAGCATGACTCATGGTCCCTCAAAAGTCAGTGAGCACTGTGGAGGAAAGCAGAGCTGGGCAGGGAGGTGGAGAGTGTGTGGAGGTGCCAGGAGGGTTGGGAAGACATCCCTGAATGGACATTTGAGCAAAGACAAACTACAGTGGCAAGCAGGACACCTGGTGCAGGAGTACCAAGTCCCTGGGTCCTGGAGTGCCTGCCATGTTCTAGAACATTCTACAATGGTGGGAGTGGAGAAGAATGAGTGAGGGGTACGTTGGCAAGAGGGAGAGCCAATCCTGTGTTCACTGGAATGAACGGGGTAGCAATGTCCAGTGCCAAGATGCAGCTCTCCAGCAACAGGTGTTCCCCAGGCCATGGAGGCTCGTAGGCCTGTGATGAAGGACGTGTCGGTAGGAGGTGCTGATGGTCAGCGTGGAGGACCCAAGGGGTTGTTTTGACCAAACTAGCTATGAAAACTGATGAGAGAATTGGGGAAATTTGGACACTGGTGGGTTATCCAGCGGTTGTAAGAAATGGCTATTTGTTTAGGTGTGAGCATGGCATTGTGGTTATGTTTTAAATAAAGACATCCTTATCTTTTAGAATTTCTTGAAATGATGGGAGTCTCTGGCAGGGCACATGAAGGGTCGAGGTCCAGGTGGACCCTGTCCCTCCCCTCATTCCTCGCATGTGTGTCCCTCCCCCCATTCCTCCCCATCTGTCTCTCCCTACTCCTCCCTCTGGTGTGTCCTTCCCTGCTCTTCCCTTTGGTGTGACCCTCCCCATCGCTCCCTTTTCTGTCTCTCCTCTACTTCTCCCCCATCTGTCCCTCCCCACTCCTCCCCCACCCTTCCTATGTATCCCTCCCCATTCCTCCACCATCTGTCCTTCCCTCCCCTGTCTGTCCCTCCCCCTTATCACTCCATCTATCTCTCCCCCATCTTCTCTCCCTGTCCCTCCCCTACTCCTCCTCTGCCCATCCCTTCACGCCCTACAATGTCTCTCATGCATCCTGGGGCCCTGTGCACCTTCTCTGCCATGGCTCAGGTGTGCCCAGGACCCACCCCATCCTTGGGGTCTTTCTCAGCTCCTCAGGACCAGAAGCTGCAAGATGTGCTCTGCATCCCCTCTTTTTTGCTGCTTCCCCTTCCGGGAAATGCCCACAGCTGCCTGGTGACTGGAGTCATATGGTGCTCTGCACTGTCGTGGAGCCTATACCACGCATGGCAGCATGCCCTGTTGGGGACATGTCTCATATCGATTCTGGGATTGAAGTCCCACGCCTCTGTGGAGACACGGAACCCAGAGTCATACTTCCTATTTGAAAGCCTGTGTCTCATGTTCTCTCATCATCCAGGTGCTGTGGGGCCTGAGAGAGAGGATCACAGAGGCGCTGAGCCTGGATGGCTATGTGTACAAGTACGACATCTCCCTCCCTGTGGAGCAGCTCTATGACATCGTGACTGACCTTCGCATTCGCCTTGGCCCACGCGCCAAGCATGTGGTGGGCTATGGCCACCTGGGTGAGCCTGGAGTGGGGCTTGGAGTCCTGTATGTGCCTTGGTGGCAGGTGTCATGGTCACCCGCCTCACAAGGCTGTGAGTTGGCACAGATTGACCGTTGCAATCTCTAGCTGAGTATGTCTCACTAAGGCTTCTGTGGGTGCCAGAGGAACCATGGTTTTATTAGTGAAGGAAGAAAAACTTGAAATTGAGAAAACCCTAGTAATTTTTATTTTTCTTTTTGGATATTTTGGAAAAGACTGCTGTTGTGCAATTTTAATGGCAGAGCAAATGGCTCAGCCTGCCAGAACATTCCAGAATCTTCGCTGGGCGAATGGTAGAAGGGCATTAACTCTTAACCCAAGAGTCCAGAACTCAGATCTCACAGACCTTCTCTTAGCCCCTCCCCCAACCCCACAGCCTTTTCAGAGCTTGATAAATAGCCTTCATCAGCTCCCCACATCTCTAGATTGAAGGGTTTCAAACCCAGTTTCAGATTATCTTTTTTTTTGCAGAAAAATCATGCTTTAGGTTACAAGTTTTAGACTTATAGAAAGGAAATGTTTCAGTCCTCTCAATTCTTGGCAGCCTTGGAATAGGGTATCTGAAAGCCCTTTTTAAGGCCGAGTGCAGTGGCTTACACCTATAATCCCAGCACTTTGGGAGGCCAAGGTGAGAGGACTGCCTGAGCCCATGGGTTCAAGACCAATCTGGGCAACTTGGTAAGACCTCATCTCTACAATAAATCAAAAAAATTAGCTGGACATGGTGGTGCATGCCTGTAGTTCCAGTTACTTGGAAGGATCACCTGAGCTCAGCAGGTTGAGACTGCAGTGGTCATGAGCGTGCCACTGCACTCCAGCCTGGGTGACAGAGAGAGAGTCCAACTCAAAAAAAAAATTAGTCCATTTTGTAGGGTGGCATGATGGGGGCTGAGCAGGGGCTGAGGGTGTGGAGCATGGCTTTGAGGCCACTGAAGAGTGCTCATTCTGGTCTCCCGCCTGGCCCTGTGGCACTGAGGTCACTGACCTGATACCTCCAGTACCTGCCTGCAAATGGGGTTCAGGTACCACCTTCTGTGATTACAGAAGGGTGTGAAGGAGTGGCCTCTGGAGCTTGGTACATGATAGTGATGATGAAGGGCCTTTCCTGTCTCAAGTACCATTCTAAGCGCTTGATGTGGAGAAACTTCTCTGTGCAACAACTTTTCCAAGTGGCACTGTTGCTTTCTATTTTACAAATGCGTAAACAGACTCAGAGAGTTTAAGTAATTTGCCCAAAGTTACCCAGCCTGGTGAAGGGTACCTCTGGGATATTTGTTTAGGATAGATGGTAACTTTCATTTTTTTTTTTTTTTTTTTGAGTTAGGGTCTCACTCTGTCACCCAGACTGGAGAGCAGTGGCCGCTCCCGGCCACCGCAGCCTTGACCTGCTGGGCTCCAGCAATCCTTCCGCCTCAGCCTTCCGAGTAGCCGGAACTACAGGCGTGCGCTACCACACCCGGCTAATTTTTTGATTTATTGTAGAGATGAGGTCTCACCAAGTTGCCCAGGCGGATCTCGAACCCGCGGGCTCAGGCAATCCACTCACCTCAGCCTCCCAATGCACGGGATTACAGGCTGAGCCACCAAGCCCTGCTGGTAGCTTTCGTTATTAAGAGAAAATAAAAGAAAGCACCCTCAGAGAGGGAATGGGAAGGAAGTCAGGGTTCTGACTCGGTAGGATAGCTAGTGTAACCAGCACCCCCTTGGCATGGTTGATACAGATGGGGCTGGTGCTGTGGACAAGTGGGAAGGGTGAGCTTCTGGGGACCGTCATTGGCTCAGAGCAGCTGTTGTCCATACGACAGAGATCACTCATGCCACTCACTCACGCCAAAGATGATACTATTTTCTGTGGATTAAAGGCTTCCAAGGGCAATACTTGAACATTTTTAGGAGAAAGGAGAATATTGTTATGACCTAGAGGCAGGAACAGGATTTCTTAAACATAACAAAAGCAAGAATGAATGTTGAAGTTGTCAAATGTTTTTTCTGCATCTACCATGATGAACAGGGACTTGTCTTCCTGTAAGCAGTTAGTGTGGCAAGTTACATTCAGTTGATTCCTCTGAAGTCAAGTAAGTCTGTGTTTCTGGGGTATGCCCAGAATCTTATTGGATCCAGTTTTTTTTTTTTACATTTGGGTGGGATTTTAATAGGGGTCCTCATGGGTGATTCCCTTTTGCACTCTTCCTGTCTTCTGACCATGCTGGGTTTGGGTACCAAAATTATAAAATGATTTGGAGATGACTACTCCTTTATTAGTCTCTGGATGAGACTGTGTAAGGCTGGAATTATTTCTTCCTTGAATGTTTAGCAGAACTTGTCAATGAAGATATAGGAGCCTGAAGTTTTCTTTTGGGGGGGTATATTTTGATAATGGATCGATTTCTTTAGTAGCTGTAAAACTTCAGTCTTATTTTTTCTTCTGCATTGGTTTTGGTAAATATTTTTCTAGAAGTTTGTCCAATTCTAAAATGTCAAATATATTAGCATAAAGTAGTTCAGATATTTTTGTTTTCATTGTCCCCAGCATTTGTGATGGTCCCCTTTAAGTCCCTGATATGGTTTATTTGTCTTTTTTCTCTTGTCCAGGTTTTTCAGGTATTTATCAATTTTGCAACCTTTTCAAGGAATCATCACTTATCTTTGTTGATCCTTTCTATTTTATGTTTGCTTTCTATTTCATTATGTTCTGCTATTGCCTTTATTATTTTCTTTTCGTCTCCATTTTTAGGTTTATGTTGTTCTTTTTTTTAACTTTAAAAATTAAGTACTAAGCTCACAGATTTTCAGCCTTTCTTCTTTTCTTTTCTTTTTTTTTTTGGGTTGGTGTCTCACTCTGTCATCCAGACTGGAGTGCAGCGGCTACTCCTGGCCACCACAGCCTCGACCTGCTGGGCTCCGGCGATCCTTCCGCCTCAGCCTTCCAAGTAACTGGAACTACAGGCGCGTGCTACCACGCCCGTCTAATTTTTTGATTTATTGTAGAGATGAGGTCTTGCCAAGTTGCCCAGGCGGGTCTTGAACCTGCGGTCTCAGGCCTTTCTTCTTTTCTAATACGAGTATTTACATTTCCCTCTAAGTACACTTCAACTGATATCAAAGTTGTTTTTGTAATAAATAATGCTAATTACTTTGTCATACTTAAAACACAATTTCTGAATTGTCCCAATGAAGATAGGAGCTGTTACTTAAATAAACAACTGACCCAGGAATCCATGTTACTGTACAGGAGACTTTGGCCTCCTGCCCTGTGGTAGATTTCAGACAGACATGCATGTGAGTAAGCAACACTTTCAGCCACTCACTGTCTTCTCACCTGTTCTTTGCTTTCTGTGCCCAGGAGGGATCAGGGTTACCTCTGTAGTTGTCTGCAGCCCTGGCAGCTCATTTCTGAGGAGTGGAGAAGGGTAGGGGAGACTCCAGCCATGCGAGCGCAGTTTCTTGCTTGTGGGTGCTCTCACTTCAACAGCTGAGTGTTCGTGTGTGTTTGTATTGGTATCCCACATGTTTTGATAGTACTTTCATTGTCTTTCAGTTCTATTTTCTGTTTCTATTATCATTTCTTCTTTGGCCCATGAATTATACAGAAATATGTTTCTTAATTTCCAAACAGGTGATTTTCTAGCTATTTTAAAGATGATAGAGTTCTTGTTCATTGTATTGTAGCCAAGGAACTTGGCCTTTATCATCTCCGTTTGTTGAAACTTGATCAGTAGCCCAGCTTGTGGTTAGCTTTCATAACTGTTGGGTGTGTACTTGAAAAGAATGTTCTCTGCAGTTGGTGGAATCAGCATACCTTGTGTTGTTCAGTCATATCCTGCTGAGCTGCCAGCAGAAAGAGGTGTTAGAAATTCCATCTGACAATGGCCTGATCTGTTCTTCCTTGTAGCTTTGTCAATTCTGAAGATATATTCTTGGGGGCACAGGGATTAGAATTGTCATTTCATTCTGGCAAATTGAGTCTTTTATTGTGACAGACTGACTCTTTTTATCTCTAAAATTGCCTTTTGCCTTGTCGTCTGTCTCATTTATTACATAGTGACACTAGCTTTATTTAGTATTTGCCTGACATGTATTTTTCCTCCTGTTACTTTCAGCCTCTTTCTATCCTCAGTGATTTGGTGCGCCTCTTATAGACAGCATATAGGTAGGCTTTCTTTTTCGTTTACTTGCCAGTCTTCAAATGAGAGTATTTCATTTATTTACATATGATATAGTGGCTCAGATATTTGGATTGATTTATGTCATGCTACTTTGGACCTTCTGTTTGTTTCTCATTACTTGGTTTTGTTTTCTTTTTTTTCCCTCTAGTTTATGGCCTTCCTTTAGTTGATGTTTTTTCTCATTTTGTTTTTTGCCCTTTACTGATTGGGAGCTGTACTTGCTATATCTGTTCTTTTGGTGGTAGTCCTAGAATTGTAGTGGGTATTCCTGTCTGCCAGGGCTGCAGATAGCTATAAGAATTAACTTCAGGATTTGAAGTTAATCAGTATCATCGTCCTCCTCTCAGACAGTGTGTGATGATGAATTCTGTGTCCAGTTAGCTAGGCCATGGTGCCCAGTTGTTTGGTCAAACTGGATGGTTCTGTGAAGGTATTTTTAATATGTGATTCATATTTAGATTAGTAGACTTTGAGTATAGTGGGTCATGTGCCATAACGTGGGTGGGCCTTACCCAATCAGTTGAAGGCCTTAAAAAAGACTGAGGTCCTCTAAGAACGGAGATTCTGATTCCAGGCAAAGACTCGAGCTGCAGCAGCAGCTCCTGCTGGAGTCTCAAGCCTGCTGACCTGCTGTTCAAATTTTGGGCTTAACCCCCACAATTGCATCAACTAATTCATTAAAATCGATCAATCTCTCGCTCATTCCTCTGTCTCTCTCTGTGTGTCTGTCTCTTTCCCTCTGAATATATTTATCCATCTTTCTCTCTCTCTGTATTTCTTTCTCACTGTCTGTCTTTATAACACACACATCCTGTTGGTTTGGTCTTTCTGGGGATCTCTGACTGACATGATGCTCTGGTTGTCATTGTCCATTCTAGTGTATGCAGTCAGCTCTCTGTGTCCATGAGCCCCACATCTGCAGATTCAGCCATAAAAAATAACAATGCAAAAATAAAAAATAATACAAATAAAGCACAGCATAGTATAACACTATTTACATTGCATTTACCTTGTATTAGGTGTCATAGGTAATCTAGAGATGACTTAAAGTATTTAGGATGTATGTAGGTTATATGCAAATAGCAAATACCATGCCATTTTATGTAAAGGAGTTGAGCATCCAAGGATGTTGGTATCCAGGGGAGGTTCTGGAATCAATCCACTAGGGATACCGAGGAATCATTGTACACAATTTTGGAGTATGTTTGAATTCCACCTTGTTCAGCTATATGTAACAGTTTCACTGTCCTGATTTTGTGTGGTCTGTTTGTCCACGGCCTCTGCCTGAATCTCAGCCTCCAGAATTTCCTTTAGTGTAGAAAAATAGGTGACTAGAACAGCTCAGATTTTTGTCTGGACATGTATTTATTTTGTTCATAAAAATTTTTCCCCCAGTGGATTTCAACAATTCTAGGTTGGCAGGTGAAACCATCATTCCACCGTCTTCTGACATCTGTTGTTATAAAGGCAGCTGTCAGTGCAAGGTAGTGCCGAGCACGGTGACTAATACTTGTAATCCCAGCACTTTGGGAGGCTGAGGTGAGAGGATTGAGTCCAGGGGCTTGAGACCAGCCCGGGCAACTTGGCAAGACCTTGTCTCTACAGTAAATCAAAAACTTGCTGGACATGGTGGCATGCACCTGTAGTTCCAGCTACTTGGAGGGCTGAGGTGGAAAAATCACCCGAGCCCAGCACGTCGAGGCTGCGGTGGCCATGAGTATGCCACTGCACTCCAGTCTGGGCGACAGAGCAAGACTCCAACTCAAAAAGAAAAGTTCAAGGCAGTTTCGTTGAAGGGAGTCTTTTTTTCCCTCTTGCTGCTTTTATGTTCTTTCCTTTGTCTTTAGGGTTCTCAGTTTCACTCTGATTCGTCCAGGTGAATGTGTTTGCATAGCCTGCCTGGCACTTGTTGGACTTTGGTGCTTTTCACTGGTTTTAGAAATTGCTCATCTTTAAATTGTCTCTTCAAATATTGTTTCTCTTCCCTTCCCCATCTTCTCTCTTTTTGGAAGTCAATCTATGTCTCACTAGTCTCTTAATCCTCTTTTTCCTGTTGTCTGTATCTCTGACTCTCTGTGATGCAGTTGGATAATTTTGTTTGATTTATCTTCATTAATCTCTTTCTGTGCTGTATACTAGCCTGTTAAACCTGTTCATTGAGTCAGTGATGATGTTTCATTTCTAGAAGATTTGGATGTTTAAGAACTTTCCTTGATCAGTTTTTGTGGTATTTTACACTTTTTATCTCTTCTTTATACATATGAAAAACATTTATATTCTGTTTCTGGAGATTACAGTATCTGAGTCTGTGTATCTGATTTTGGTCCTTGCTCATGGAGATTTGTTTTCTTATATGTATGCAGTTTTTGGCATGAGCTCATATTAGATTTTTTTATCTGTGGGAATGATTTGAGACCTGGGTTGGAGATAGTTTGCTTCTGCTGGGGATGGGGAGGCAATGTGGAGGTGAGGGCCAGGGGCCCCCAGCCTGGAACCTCTTTAATCTTCACATTCTTAGCTCAGTGTCTTTGGGACCAGATCGTGTGAATTCAGGCTGCAAACCTGTATGCAGGCTAGTTGATGGTTGTGAATACTGTCAAGCGTTGTGTCACGATGGGGATACATTCCGAGAAGTACGTTGTGAGGCAATTTTGTCACTGTATGAACATCCTAGAGTGTACTGACACACACCTAGATGGTATGGCCTGCTTGCTACACAGACCTGGGCTGTATGGTACAGCCTGTTGCTCTGGCTACAAATCTGTACATTTGGCTCAGTACTGTAGGCAACTGTAACACAATGGAAGTATTTGTGGATCTAAATATAGGAAAAATACTATAAATAATGTTATAAAAGATAAGAAATGGTCCACCTGTCTAGCATTTACCATGAATGGAGTTTGCAGGACTGGAAGTTGCTCAGTGAGAGTGGTGAGTGAATGTGAAGGCCTAGGACATTACTTGCACTACAGTAGACTTTATAAACACTGGACACTTAGGCTCCACTAAACTGCTGTTTAAAAAGTCATCGTGCTGATTTCACTAGGTGATAGGAATTTTTCAGCTTCATTATAATCTTTTGGGACCACCACCATATATGTGATTCATTCTTGGTCAAAATACTGACTGTGGAGTTGGTTTTTCTCCTTCCACAATCAGTGCTCCCCAGGTAGGTCCCTTGGTGGGGGTTGTGTTCAGTCCTTATTGCCCCAAAAATGTGTCAGTGTGTCTGTGGGGACTGCATTTGAGAGTGTATGTATGTGTGTGTGGGGGGGGGTAGCTGCTATGCTCCCTCCACCTCGGGTTTGCTCTTGGAGGGGACTAGAGTGATTTTGTCTCTACCCTTCATGATTCTTTGCTGGGATGAACTCTGTATCTAAATCAGAAGTTTATTTTTATTTTTTAATTTTTTTCTTTTAAGGATATGGGGTCCAATTCAGGGTTAGGTATACAGATGTTCATTTTGTAGGTACCCTTTGTTGATGAGGTGTGCCCCTCCCTCCCCTGGCAGTTTTCCTCAACTGCCAATCCCACCCTTCCTCCCCTGGTAGTTTCCCACTCCTGCCAATCCCTTTCTTATAGTATGAGTGAGAACATGTGGTACTCTAGGACACAAGTTTATTAACATGTGTATTTCACATGTATGTGCGGGATGGTGGGATGGCTAGGGAATGAATAATTCTCAAAGAGGTGGCTTTAAATTCAGACTTTCCTAACATCTTCAACAAAGAGCAGTAAAATTCTAGAGAAGTCCCAAGACAAAGGAAGAGGACTTTGAGTCTCCAGGGGGTGGGAGCTTGGGGGAAGGCAGAAGATTGCTGGTAGAGGCTGGTCAGGAAAGCTTGTTTCCACAGATTCCTTGGTGTGGTCCCCAGGTCAGGTGTGGGGCCTGACGCTGCCCTTGGTGAGCATCCTTCATTCTTTCTGGTGGAGAGGATGGGGACACCTCTGCCCTTGTAAATTCATGTCCTGCTTTTAGGTAGGACATAATTGGGAGTGGGAGAGCAGGAAGTTTTTCTTGGTTCTGCATTTTCTCAGTTGACTTTGTGTCAAAATAATCCTCATACCAACCTGACATATTTTAGGGCTATGTGTCCTGGTCTACTATACCCTGTTTGTTCTTACCTCTGGGTGCTTCTCCTCAAGGTTGAAAGCTGTTTTTTGGCTTAGGCATGGTGGCTCATGCCCCCAGCACTTTGGGAAGCCAAGGTGGGAGGATTGCTTGACCCCAGGAGTTTGAAACGAGCCTAGGCAACATAGTGAGACCTCATCTCTGCAAAAATAAAACAATTAACTGGTCATAGTGGTACACACCTGTAGTCCCAGCCTCTTGGGAGGATGAGGCAGGCAGACCAGGATGTCAAGGCTGCGGTAGCCATGATTGTACCACTGTACTCCAGCCTGGGTGACAGAATGAGACCCTGACTCAAAAATAAAAAACAGGCCAGGAGCAGTGACTCATGCCTATAATCCCAGTACTTTGGTAGGCGGAGGCGAAAGGATTGCTTGAATTCAGGGGTTCAAGACCAGCCTGGTCAACTTGGCAAGACCTCACCTCTGCAGTAAATAAAAAAAAAAATTAGCCGGGTGTGGTGGTGTGTACCTGTAGTTCAAGCTACTTGGAAGGCTGAGGCGGAAGGATCACCTGAGCCTAGCAGGTCAAGGCTGTGATGGCCATGAGTATGCCACTGCACTCCAGGCTGGGTGACAGAATGAGACTCTGACTCAAAAAAATAAAAAACAACACCCCCCCCCCCCCCCCCCCCCCCCCCCC